ATTTATATAAACATCTATATAAATACATTGAATTGAAAATATGTGATTTTGTGATAACTGTTTGCGTAGAATTGTGCCAAATGAAATTGTCTGCGCGTTTCGTTGAAAACAATTCGTGAAACAAAGGGTTGATAAGCTTCTGGTAAATAAAGTGTTAAGTCAGAATCCACTATTGCACCAAGTGCATCGTCTCGAAAGTTGATACCTCAGGACCACGGTCACAGAAAAGCGCATCCTGTGCACCGAGCCTTTGACAGATGCCGCCAGCAATCCCTGTCGAAAGACCATCTTCGCGAAACGTCCGCTAGATGGCGCTGCCAGTACCTCTCGAGCACCGATTAATCCCCATCCCCCATCGGTCCGCAACAATAAATTGTTGTAATCACAATAATCCCCGCGTTTAAATCAATGCTTTGTGTTTACACGGTGGCAGACGGGCAACCGGCAATTTTAATTCATTACAGGTTTATCGTGGCCGCCGCCGCCGCCGCCGCCGCGTCGCCTCGAATCAAATTCCCAGGTGAACAATGGGAGACGATTCCGGTTTCACTAAACGTTCGTCCCAGATTCGAAGCGTCATCGATAGACATCGGCTTTCTAAACATCGGCTAATTACTCGGAAGAGGGGGTGAGCGTAGGGGGGAAGCTCGCAACGAACGCGTAATCCTCGGGAAGCATTCGCAGCCGCTTGTAATTAAAAGCCTCTGGGGCTCCGGGGCCGGCCCATACATCTCGCCGTAAACTTTCCAAATAATTATACCGAGTATTATTTAATTCATGTAATGACTACCGTGGCGGACCGGTGCCGTAACACCGACGCCGAATCGAGCCGTTCGAGGCGTCTCTTTCTTCACTCGGCTCGGATCTTCAGGCTCTGCGGCGAGGCATACTTCTGTCAACTTAGATCGCACTACAGTCCGTAGAAAGGATGCATAATACGAAATTATTTCTCTTGTTTCTATGTTAGAGTTATCAGTGGACCGCGGGTGCTTATGCGAATGCATGTTTTGTAAGGAATAGTTGAAAGAATGGGAAATTTGTATTGTGATTAGAGGATTCTCTAATCTATAATTAGAGGATTTCTCTAACATATGCTCTGCATATTTATATTTAAAATGATATGCATAAACTTGGAAGAAAATACTCGTAATTTATTGCCACGCTGACCGAAATGTATCCGAATAATTGCGAAAAACATTTCGTGTATGTGTATATGTGTATAGTGAAATATTGTTAGACTCATAATTAGACCGAATTTTAAGCATTTATGATAAAGTGAGTTGGTGAAATTTAAAACAGTGAAAATGTTTAAAGATATTAAAGATATGTTGCATTAATTATTAATCAAATAGACCATGTAGCTCCTGTGTCTCGGGATCGGCGCAGTAATTTTTATTTTGCATGGAAACCATAGACATTACGACACGCAACGAATTTTCTCGAGTAATTCACTTTTTGCACGATTTTCCTTCGTCTTTCACGAGAATCGAAAAATTCGAACGAATTTTCCAGTTCGATTTTAATGCATTGACTAAAACTAGAATAAAAAGCAGATTTCTAACAAAATCTCTCCGTTTATGCTCTAATAATCTACTCTGCACCTCCGCCATCTTGGAAACGTTCCTCGATGATCCCCGCAAGGCTCACAAGCACTGAAATAATTCTGTCAAATCTCAAACAGACATCCTCGTCTTTTTTTTACATCAGCAGACAAACTTTTGCAAATTATAACAAATTTCATGGACGGCTAGTGTCACCGGGATGTCAATGCAGTTTCAAGGTCGTCTTGGCAGGAATCAAACAGATGCACTTGGATACATCTTATAATTATTACCGGTCTGCGAATCCTTATGCGAAATAAAAAATATCCGCATGAATTACAAGAAATAGGGAATAAATAGAAGTTTCTTGCCTTAATAATTTCAATGACTCGATAATAATATATCAGTACTCTCGGCTTCTTCTGATGCCTTACCTGTCTTAAAAGCCACCATCTCATGTTAGTTATAAATAGACTGCGAATCTGCTCTCGTTCGCGATACATGCAAGTTTGTAAAGTGCAAGTAAACGTGTAAATGAATTTTA